GTTGGCAAAAACCACTATAGGCAAAGATAGATAATAGTGGTCGCATTGAAACAAAACTCAATCAACGTACAGGGAGCATGTAAGTTTCCCTTACATGAAAAAATGTTACATTACATGTTACAACAAAAAAAAAACAGTTCACTTATTTAAACTGCGTGTCATCGTGTTATATGTGGATACGTTCTCCAGTATGTTATTCAACTGTATTTTTGTGAATTAATTGTTTTTCTAAAATCTTAAGATGCATAAAAAGTCATCGTCAATAGAATTAAATATTTGCATAACGGTTTTTATCATAGTAATCAATAATTTTAAACATGTACAGCTAGGGACGAGGCAATGCAATATTTATATAATATAATATCTATGAAATATAAGTATATAATATTATATTTATATGATCTTTCACAAAACATATCAAGCAAATAAAATGTAACCTCGTTTTCAGGTGAACTATTTTTTTTTTTTTTTTAGGTTATTGTTATTTATTTCTATAATATTCAACATAATTATTTACATAGATTGTGAGGGGCCGAGGCTACATAGCATTATTGGCCCCCCTCTAGAAAGTTAAAAACATATAATAAATCACTGGAGTGTGTAGGATTGCAACGGACAGACGGTCGTCCACCAGGTCTTGCCCATGATGATGTATATGAGTGTTAATGAGAGATGATGTGAAATGAGGAGGATGGTCATTCTAAGATGTTATCGATATAATTTGAAGATAGTTGAAGGCATTTTGTATTCAGTTCACTATTTAAATTTTCATCTCCATAAAGTATAAATTCTATTTTTTGCTTTCTGGTTTTTCCAAAATAGCACATAATATCAAGATTGTCTAACTTTAGGATGTTCTGTATGTAATCATTTCTATATATGGCGGTTAGAGGGCAGTCGAGTAAAAGATGAATCTTATCTTGATTTCGGTGGCCGCAGGGGCAAGAAGGATCTATGATGTTGTTGAAATTATGTCTAAAAAAGTCACTTTTAAGGGCAAGGTCGCCTCTAATTTTATTAAGTTTAGTTTCAGAAGACCTTTTCAAATTAAGATTTTTTGTTAAAATATTCTTTTTATGAAATGTATATTTCTTATTATAGTTTTTCTTGAAGATTGCTAGGGTTGGCGATGTTTTTATTTCAGTTGAAAGATTTTTCCAAATGGAGATAGGCTTTATGGCTGGTGAATTTAGGTATTTCACAGACGCTCTCACTGGTAAAACATATTCTCTTCTGGAGCGGAGCTCCCTTTCGGCACCAGGATTGGACAGTTTTTCATATATAGAGACTACATAAGAGGGGGTCAAATTTGATCGGACTTTGAACATGTGAATACTTTGTTTTTCTTCTCTTCTCTCCGCTAGGGTTTTCCAGTTTAAACATTTATATAATTTTTGCTTGCACGTACCATAAATCGCCCCGGAAACTATCAGGGCTGCTCTGTAATGGAGTTTGTCTAGTTGTTCCAGAGCACCTTGTGACGCCGAACCATAGATTAAAGAGCCGTATTCGATTTTAGAGAGGATGAAAGAAGTGTACATTGTTTCAAGATGTTTTGAGTTTACTCTCATTTTCAATGCTGATAGGGGATTTAGTAGTTTGTCAATTTTTGCTCGGACTTCGTTTATATGAGTTTTAAAGTTTAAGTTTTTATCAAGAGTTACGCCTAAATGTTTATGTGAATCGACTCGGTCAATTGAATTGTTATTAAGTGTCAAAATTGGATATGGCCTATCAAAGACGGTTTCTTTACAAAATATTATTTCTTTTGATTTTGAAGGCTTGAAGTTCATTTTCCAAGTTTGTGACCATTTAAAAATATTGTCAAGATCTTTTTGGAGGATTTCGTGAGTGTTCTGAATTGGATGATCTCTAGGTACAGGTAAATAAATGGAGGTGTCGTCTGCATAGATGTAAGATGTTGAGTCAATTACTTCCGGTAAATCATTTATGTATAATAAGAAAAGGATCGGCCCAATTTGGCTCCCTTGAGGCACCCCGCTGTTTATGTAATTGTCTTCTGATAAATTTGATAAGATTCCGTTTACTCTAGTTTGAACTTTTCGATTTTTAAGATATGAGCTTATGAGATTCAAAGTGTCAGCACCAAAACCATATGATTTTAGTTTATGAGTCAAAAGGGCATGCGGGACTTTGTCGAAGGCAGATTCTACGTCAAGGAAAATTCCTCTGACGTCACAGTTGCGGTCAAAAGATTCATTAATAAAATTCGTTATTGCTATAAGTTGGAAGTCGGTGCTGTGACCGGGTAAAAAACCAGATTGGTTATTATAAAGTAAATTGTTTTCAAGGAGATGGGTCAAAATTCGATTTTGGATGACTTTCTCAAATACTTTGGATATTGTATTTAATAAGGAAACTGGACGGTAATTTGCTTTATCTGAACGTACTCCTTTATTTTTGAAAATAGGACATATAGTGGCGAGTTTCCATATGTCTGGAAAGCATTGTCCGTTTAAAATTCTATTAAAAAGCAATGATAGCGGTAAATCAATCGTCGACGCTGTCATAAGAAGCATCCTATTTGTAATACCATCGGGTCCTTCCTTTTTGGAGGGGTTGAGATCTAGTAAGAGAGTTCTAACTTCCTCTCTGTTTGTTGAAATATTGGTCAAAATTTTGTTCGTTCGCATTTGGAGAGTAGGCAGGTCCCTTTGGTCAAAATCAAAATCGTGGTGGAATTTACTGGTAAAATGGTTTAACAATTCAGTCGCCTTATCTTTGTCGGTTGAAAATACTCGTGTCAGATCAGAGCTAAACAAAGTTGGAATGCTTGGAGTGAATCTAGTACCAAGGAGTTTTTTGATAGCTTGCCAATAAAATTTACTGCCAGAAGAAAAGGATTGAAGGTCATCACAAATCTTATTTTCATAATTGTCTTTAAGTAATTTTACCTTTTGTTCTACAATTTTTACTTGGTCCTTGTAGTTTGTTTTATTTACTTCTGTATTATTTCGTTTGAACTTTTTATATAATTTATCTCTTTTGTTTAACTCCATCTTAATTTCGTTATCGAACCATGGCATATCATTTGATTTTGAAATTTTAGTTTTAAATGGTATATTATCATTAAAAATAGATGTCAGTTTGTTAGTGACAGCTTGAGTTGAGGCATTAACTGTTCCCGTGGCAATAATATCATGCCAGTTTTGATTTAAAATGAGATTATTAAGATTATCTAAGTTGCAGTTTTTATATTGCCAGGTCTTTTTCTTACTTGGCTCACTATTAAAATGTGGGGATATATTTATATTAGTCAGGACTGTACTGTGATCACTGTTCCCTATAGGAGCATGGACTTCGGTCGAATTTATTAATCCAGGGAAGTTAGTAAATACTAAATCAAGACAAGATTCAGAAGTCTCGGTGATTCTGGTGGGAGTATTTATCAATTCTTCAAATCCTAAATTTGACATAGTATCGTATAGCTTAGGACCTAAAGTATTTTCACGTTCGTTTTCGTAAAAATAAACTGACTTCGCATTAATGTCACCTTGAAGAACAATGAGGTCGAATGCATCGGAGGTTAGCGCCTTATTTATGGATTCAGATAAAAGTCTATTAAATTTAGATATCTCGGCAACTACTGCCAGTTGAGTTTTAGGAGATCTGTATCCTGAACCTATCAATATTTTTTTATGCTGTGAAATTTGTAATTCTACCCAGCAGATTTCATTTTCGGTGTTTAGATCACTTCGAATTTTATAAGGTATATTTTCTCGTATATATATCAGAATACCCCTGCCATGGTTTGGAATCATTGGATAAATAGGTTTATGAAAACCATTAATAATAAGATTATCTGGGTCAAGATTTGTACCGGTTTCACAAAGTGACATAACATCACATTTTAATTCACGCGCCCTTAAAGATAAATCATCAAAACGACTGCTATTTTCCCCATTAGCTAAAGGTTTTAGAGATCCGTTGACATTCGTTGATAAGATTTTCAAATCCGGACCAGGATTTTGATGCACATCGTGCGATAATAATATGATTATATCAAGAATCAGAACTGAGCCTAAAGAAAAAACATCGTCTCTCGAAAAGAGCGTTGACAGGTGCAAAATGTTACTGTAGCTTATATGCTTGCACTGGTGCAGAGAAAGCATAAAATATACGCTCGCTAATTGAACTGTAATAAATAAAAGGTATCCAAGAACACGTATCCAGCAGTAAACTGCTACCAAAAATATACTTAGTCCCAGAGTGAGACTTATAATGACATGGATACCACACATTAAAATTCAAGATATTGACAGTACCAAATCGCCGAACCCAAGTAAGAGTTGACTTTTGAAAGAATCTGTAAAACACTCGGCAAGTAAAATCATCAGCCAAACATGCCTAATTACTAAAGTAAAAACCCTTAAAAATAATGCTTCGAGTTTATTTGGGTTGTAAATGGGCCCCGTTACAAAAAAGTGTTTAAAAGATTCAGTAGGTTTTCTTGAGCTAAACGATCCTATTGCTACCCTCCACCTTACAATGTCAATTCCCATCTAGAAAGATATATTTGCAGAACATCCCAAATATTAATAGGCAACGACAGTTCAAGTTTTGAATGACCTCAAAAGTAGTAATGATGGTGATGCGAAGGTGATGATGAAGATCTGACTGTGTGTGGAAGTTGGTAACTGTAAGGGCTGACCCATTGGACGACGATCGGTCCCCTGCATTCACGTACACACTCTGAAAGTAAAGAAAGCTAATTAGGTATAACAAGTTACTTTGCGCTTGCATGTTGAACTATTTTGTATGTGGATTCACAAATGAAAATATATTTCAAAGCATGTACAAAGAGTCAAAGACCCCTTGTATATTGCAAAATTTATTTCAATGTGTAAAATATTTCTGTTCAGTTATGAAATGTAATAGTTATGTAGCTATAGATTTATAGTTTAATCATAATAAAACGTTTAATGCACAAATGCAATATATCTAAGAAAGGTACATAAAATTATAAAACAATATAAATAATGCAACATAAATAATTTAATGTGTACTGATGTAAATAATCATATTTTTCTGATCTTTCACAAGTAATATCAACTCGTACCAAGTAATATGACCGAAGCCCGGTTATGTCACAAGTAACGAAAATAAGCTAAATAGGTGGATTTTAAAAACAGCATTTCGTTTTAGCAAAGCCTTCAACATTAAAGCATCTAATGTTAACCGTAAATTATTCGGATTCAATCGCCTTGAATATGGGAACGTTCTGACCATCTCTTGATTTCTTATTTGTGCCATATACAACGAATTTGTAAGCCTGTGTGATATCCATTATAAGCTTTGGAAGGTCTAGAATAACAATCAATGAGATAAAGATAATAGGTGGGACACATATTGGGATTGCTATAGCAGCTGCATAATTCGCTTCACTTGGCTCATATTCGATCCTTTTATGAGGCACGTATTCATCAGCTTTTTCAATTTCCTCTGCTATGTTTTTAAATACAATAATTAAAGGCATAGTTTCTGACACGGTGGTTTTTGGCGATGACTTAAATCCAGGTTGAATTGTCTTGTTTGGATATGGAGTAGAAGTTTCCTCAGTTTCAGGCATGGTTTCAATGGTTGATTGATTGATTCCCTCAGTTGTTGCAATGGTTCCAGTTAATGTTGGAAAGGTGTAATCAATTCTTGGGATTGTTCCATTAGTTGTTGCGGTGGTTTCAGTAGATGTTGCAGCGGTATCCTCAGTTATCGGGATGGTTCCATCAGTGGTTGAGTTGTTGATGGTTCCATCAGTAGATGTTGAAATGGTATCTCCAGTTGTTGTCGTAGTTTCAATAGTCGTTGGAATGGGATGGCACACTTGCCCCTGGCTTGTCCAGTTACCAGAGGTCTCACAGATGACAGTTTTACTTCCCCGTAGGTAAAATCCATCATTACAAGAATAATTTGCAACACTGTTGTATGTTGTACCATTAGGCAACTCTAGGCTTCCGTTTTTTATCCCCTGAGGTTGACCACAGTCAACAATGTAACATTCTGGTACCAGGGTCAATGATGAGATCAATGCGTCGTTAAAATAACTCTCGTATGGCACCCATGAATCGTTTGAGGAACACTGCAGAGAAGTTATGTTTGATATTTGGTAGCCCTCATCGCAGGTATAGTCAGCTATAGAATGCACAAGAGTAGATGTGAAATTCCGCCTCCCATGTTCCGTAGTTGGGGGTTCTTCGCAGTTTGCAAGGGTACATGATGGTGTTTGAGACCATGTGTGGTTGTAACAATTTACTGCTGAGGTGGCGTTTTCATATCTCTCGTTACATGTGTAGCTGGTTATCCATGAGGTTGAGTTCTCAATACTACCATGCTCTATTTCTGATACTGGACGACATGCTAAAATATAGAAAAAGATGATATGAGATCAATTCACCAAGCAGCCGCCAAAATATAATGCACGGTGAAACTTGGCAACCTATAGAAATTCAAATTTGAAGAACAATATGTGGCTTTCTTGTAGTCGATTAGTCGACATTTATCGATAAATTTCGTCACTTGTAATTTATCTCTACCTGGTGTTGCATATATCTCCACATTACAAATCTTCCAATCTGTGTCAACATCTGATTGTATTGATTGTATCTCCACCTGGTCCCCAAATTCTAAATATTGACACTTGTATAAAGCAGGAATTGAGTTCTTTATTTGAGCATCTCTGATGCAAAAATTGTGTTGGTCCGCACTGTCGTGAACAGTAACATTGAACTCGTAAGGCGCTGCTGTACCTGTGGCATCTGGAATGGAATATATATAAGATATAATAAGACACTCTTGAACAGTAATTGGTGAATAAGCTGCTGTAGGTTCTGATTGATAATGGTTTGTTGGAGACAAAACAAAGCATTGCATAATAGGATTTACTTATTTAGGGACTATTACGCCGATACATATTTTTGGAGGGTCGTTAAATCGATCTTACTTTTAGACCCTCTTCCTACTTTTGTTAGGTCTTATCTCTTTGCTTGATATACAATTTATGATGGAATGTTACTTTTAAGTGCCATTGACTTCACCTTTTATGGTTTAGAGTCTTATAAGGTTTATCATGCCATTATATCTATTTATACTTACGAAAATTGATTATGAGTTCATCAATTCGAAAATAAGCTCCCATGTTAAATGTCAAGCCGGTGGGAGAAATGTTTTCACAAGTCTCATATGGATAAACATCAGTCACTTTGGATAATAGTGGTGTTGATATTATATTTAGATGATTCATATTTCCCTGTCCTGTAAGCAAAAAATACATGTGTATGAGCTATGAAGGGTCCACAATTAACATTTAACTGTCTGACATGTTGGGTGTTATTTCAATGTATCCAACTTTGGGGTGTTTATTGATTTCATTTCGGAGTTCTGTGTAGTCGGTACTTCCTTCTTTCCAAATCTGCTGCACAGTTGCTATAAAAAAAGAAGGTCACTATTTAAGTAATGCTGAAACATTATTTCCGTAAATATCTGCATAGTCCGGTAGTTGGTATAACACACACGTGCAGGGGAACATGAGACCGTCGATCGAAACGTCTGAAGTTATGAAATTAATAGAATTATAAGGTCTGACACAATTAAACACAATTACTTTTTGTTTTTATTCTATTTAGTATGAATATCACGTAATAATTTACGTTCCACATGCTTATTTTATGACTTCTATTTCTTTTTGTAAACGATAATAAATACTCACTTATGCAGCGGTATGTTATCACTGCCGTTACATTATGGCTCTCAACACATCCATTCGGCCTAAGAACAGAGTAGTCATCGAAGTGTACAATGCACTCATTTTGCTTATCACACTTGTCCTTGATCACACTGTCGTTCCGCACTGGCTGGATATTGCACAATGAGTTGTATTCAAACCGACACAAATAATTGATACCATTGCTGTTGTTGCTTTGGCCCACTTCGACAGTATCAACAACTAGAACATCGTCCCCCTGACATGATAGTCTAATACTTTTATCCGATGTCTCACAGCCAGTTTTCTTGAGAGTTTGGGCTGAAAGTGGTCATAATGCAAATGACTGTTAGTACAATACGTTTTCAATGTCATCAATTGTAATGTCGTTAAAAAGAGATCAAGTGTCATTGTAAACTAGCAAAAATAGAGATAAACTCACCCTTTCTTTAACTGTATGCATAAGATACCTGACCCATTTCCTCAGGGTGCCAAATAAATATGTCCTTTCCCTGTAACTTTGACATTCACATACTGTTGAATAACTTTTTTGTCTGCAAGTTATTCAAATTGTTCATTACCACATAAAACCTAGGCTTCATGTAGCAACTCTCAAGTAGACGCTCTCTTATGCATAACAGATAGTACTCTTAAAATTATGGGGGGACATATTTATTTGACACGCTGTAGATAAGAAAAAATCGTATCATCAAGTAAATCATTACCCTTTTTGTATGTTTCCGTCTCAAAGCAGCTTGTTTTTTGAAGATGTATTGAAAACAGAGTCACCTCACCAGTTACAGACACAACAAATGCTTCCATGGATCCATTCATCGAGCCTCTAAGCTTGTTGCCTATTTCACGTTTGAATACTTGAACTCCATTTACGAAATATTCTACCGTTTCCTCATCACTTGTCATGGTTATTTGGAGAAATTTTGATTGCCCCAGGAAGTCCATGTCCAGTTTTGCCAAAAAGGACATATCCGACTGATGGAAATTGAGATATCCAATAATCTCAATGTTACTTGAGGAATTTTTGCCGATAACCATCCCAAATGTATTTGTTACCTGAATCATAACATGTGTGTCTAAGCTATCCTCTTGCTTTGTATTTGATGTGAGATCCACCCACGTCTCTAAACAGAATGTGTTGTTGAGTTCATTTGAGGGTACGCTATCATTTATTCTTATAACACCACCTCGTATTGTAGTCAGTCCAACAAAGTCCCCATGTTTTTTTAAAATAGCATCCCCTATAAAAAGTTGTCCATCATTATCAGGTTTTAACACACTGTCCATTGCAAAAGTAAGTCTTCATAACCTTCAAGTTTATTATTGATACACAAAGCTATGAACCATTTGAGATGAGAAATTTAGTTATCATACCAAATAGCTGCATGAAATCGATATTATATTTTTTAATAATGAATGTATCTTTGTTTATTGTATAGAAACGCAAACACCAAGAAAAATGTTAGGGATTACGTTGTAGTAACGTACTTGATTTTCATGCTTATTAATGACTTATAGCCTTAAACCTCATTAAGTGTCATATTTTGTATGTCACAGTAAACAATAATATTATGTTTAGGTTACCTTTGACATTTCCAAACGGACCTTGTGCGTTAAAATTGTATCCGATTATTGTATCCGAGCTCTTCTCAAAATCACAACAACCTAAGGAATAAACAAAACGGAGAGTCATTTTCAATATGTATATAGTGTAAGAACAGCATTGGACACTGTGCCTATCTATAGACCCCTATAGTTTTATATTTCGCGAGTAACCTTTTCAAAACATTGTTCCCGTCCTGGAGTAATTATTTCTGTAAAGTATCATCTCTGTTGATAAAATACAAAAACAACAAAATGCATAATATTTGTAATCGTTTGCATCAACTTCAAAGTTACTTTAATTGTTTATTCAAGCTAGACAGAGGAAATTAAAATGTAAACTTATGTTTTTGTGTATAACGTTTATTTTCTAACTTTAAAATGTTCTTTTATCAGCAGATAGAGGGACCCAATTGCCAGTGGCGTTATATGTTTATATTCAATGTTGAATTGGTGACTGCTTTATATTTTCAATTGGACCCCTTGCTTCAGTTTATCTTTTTATCAAGGCACCACTGAAGGAGCATTGATCCCATTCAAGGAAGTGTAGAACTGATTCTGCATCCCATGTGATTTATTAGATCGAAACCCGTGCATTTTCAAGAATGCTATACCCAAATATAAAGAAAATGGACTCCATACTATTTTGCCTCCTGGTTTAGCGAATCTTGAGACAATGTGTGCCTTATGTTGGCTCGAAGTACATGATAAAAACACAACAGAAACTGCCATACCTCTACATTTAAGATCCTCGCCAATCCATTCACCAGAGTCCGCTAAATAAGGAACTACACATTTCTTTGTGAATTCTCCCGAGTAGTAAATGTTTCCTGGCAAACATTCATACTTTACTATTGCACCATTGTACCATCCATCAAGCTGAGTGATCCGTGCATGTCCCATGGGAGGGTCTGGTATCACGGGACACTCTGTAATTGTGATTTTACTAGATTTAATGTTTTTAGAGTTATCATGATTCAAATAAGATTAACTTTGAAGCTTATGTCAGATACGAGGATTGATTCAAAGTAACTGACATGATGTTATCCAATATGATGTTATATATTATGTTGTAGGCATGCTTACTCTCACCTACTTTGTGTAAAATGTGTTACACAGTACACACCATATATGATTTTATTTATGTTTTGTTTGATTTCACTCCAAAGAGAGTCATTGGACTGTGTCTAGGTCAGGTTGAGACTTAATTAGAAATTCACGTCTAACGTGAAACAAGAGGCCTCTATTTTGTGGGCTGTAAAGTAGATGAAAATTATCCCCCAATGCAACATTATTCACAATGTTGGCCATGATTTGATCTCCTGCTTCTTCGTTGACAATTCTATTAGCATTTATCAGTTTATATAGACATATTAAAAAAACTTTTGCAACCTAATTGAACTGTTAACTTAACATTACATTATTATATAAAACAAAATATCATATCGTTTAGTAGTCTATTACATAACTCAGCAGTCATATGCAAGTCAGTCATATATATGACGTGCACGGACCTGGGGACAATTAGAGGAATACGGCCTAATGTCAACTATAAACGTTAATACCCGCCTAAGTAAAAAACCGAAGCACGTGTTTCATTATTTCAAACATCATTTTGAAGGTTCTCTATGCACATTTCGGTAATACTATTTTTGGTCGAGAATTTCCATGTGATCTACCATTTTTTAAAGTTAAAACTACTATTGTTCTCGAGCTCTTGCTCCCCTGTGCATTGTATCGTGATTAGATAAGGATAAGGGCTTTTATTTTGAGGTTGATATAACTTGAAAAAATGCGACGCTCGTCGTTTTTGACGTTCTAATGCTGTTTGCGCCCTATACTGCTCATTGTTTTGTTTTGGTATTTTGACGCCATAATGTTACCCTAATTGTCCTCAGTTTCGTGCGACGTGTAATGCGTGTAGTTTTAATGAACCAAAACAAAAATCTCAGTCTAACCACTGAGTTGTCCAAATTTACCCGAACATTCTTTGGATTCATGATACCACCGATTGCATTTTTGTCACTTAATCCAGGAAAGATTTGAATCCATATCTTCGTAATAAACTTTGTCACGACTGACAAATATTCTCTCTGTTCTTGGATGGATGAGTTTCTTGTTTGGATTTAGGAACGTTTGTAGATAGCTTAACTGTTTGTGTTTACAATTAACTATATAACCCCTTCTTGAATTGAAATTATGTTATGGGAAATACTTTTGGATAAGTGAGTATTGTCTATCACTTTCCATATATTTGATATAGTACAAGGAACTTGAGAATTAATCACAATGGCTTGTAGCTAGACTATAAATAAGTGAGAGCTGACCATGGTCCAATGTTCATGAATGGCAAGGAGGTTTATTAAATCCGTGTTTGTAACATAAATAGGTATCTTTGGAAAATGCTTGGTTACTCGTTTGGTTATATTTGTTGAGATATGTCAAACACTGAAGAAACAAATATCAAATGTTGGCGTGTTCATTGCTTTTTTACGTATTTTCGATATAATTTGAAGATAGTTGAAGGCATTTTGTATTCAGTTCACTATTTAAATTTCCACCTCCATAAAGGATAAATTCTATTTTTTGCTTTCTGTTTTTTTCTAAAGATACCACATAATATCAAGATTGAACTTCAGGATATTCAGTATGTAATCATTTCTATGTATGGCGGTTAGAGGGCAGTCGAGTAAAAGATGAATCTTATCTTAATCTCGGTGGCCACGAGGGCAACAAGGATCTCTAATGTGTAAAAATATGTCTAAAAAGTCACTTTTAAGGGCAAGATCGCTTCTAAGTTTAATTTCGAATTTCAGAAGACTTTTTTAAATTAAGAGTTTTTGTTAAAATATTCTTTTCATGAAATGTGTATTTCTTATTATAGTTTTTCTTAAAGGTCGGTAGGGTTGGCGATGTTTTTATTTCAGTTGAAAGATTACGCCCGAATGCCTCATGCGCAGTACTAACCAGCTGACAGTATGCTAACCAATATTAACATACAATTACCTGCCTCGAAGGAGCAACCAATGACATCAAACCGCAACGATACATGATTCGCCCATGTTTGGGGATTGATTCGAACAAATCTGGCTCGCACAGGTGGGTCAATCAAGTTAGTAACATGGCTGTCTTGATCCGTATTCCCTTGTAGAATCTAAATCAAGAAAAAATGAGTTTAGTAGTTATACATTTTCTGAATAAATTAGATTTACAGTGACCCTCGTTTCTGTCTAGGTTGTTCGATAAGATAATATTATATTGGTAAAATTAATATTGAACATTATTGAGTCGACACACATACTAGCAATTGCAAATCGTAGTTAATTATTGCATCTTCAAAATACCCAGCAGTCTCCAAAATCGACCGTATATGACTGTACATATAGGTGTATTTAATATATATGGAGGTTCTACGTGGGTTATGCCTGGTTAAGTTCCAAAATAAAAAAAAACACAAAATCCTAATGTCTGCAACACTTTTTCATAACACAAAGTCGCAAAATCCCCTCACCCATCTGATTTTATTATGGTTATGGTATCTTTGTTAACCTTTATTCAATTATAACTCAGAAAAGTATTGCATTTTAGGTCAAAAATGTCAAATCGAGGTCAGCGTCACCTAGGGGGTGTACATTTTTGACATTTTGTGATGGAATCTCAAGTTTCTTTCAAAATAAATGCCACGCTTCTTGAAGGATACTCTAAGAGCGAGGAGGAAAATTCTTTGACAGCATTTTCAGTTAGGGGGAAGTCTTGAATAAACTTTTTACCTAGGTGATAGGTTTGCAGAGTGGTACAAACATTCTTTTTTCAGGGGTTAGCCCCCCACCCCCCCAAAACACCCCACATTGGGAAAATAGTTTTCATTCTCAGTAACTTTAGATATTTTGATGTTTGTAAGTAACATATATAAACATTATATACTTATATGAATCATTTGCAAAATAAATAATGCCAATCACTACAGAGAAGAATGATACTTTTGAACCTCAGTTGGGTATTTACATGTGATGATCAATTCATGGCTATCATGCAGACCACAAAATAAAAACAAGGCACAGACGTGAACAATATCGTACCTAAAACACAGCAGTGTGACAGTGAAGAATTTAGGACGGGAAATCCAAAATGGCCACCTTAAAATTTACCCAGAATGCCCAAAAACTAATCAGTTCTTAACTTTGATACATAGAAACATCCCTGAAAATTTCAGATGAATCCCTCAAATGGTTTGGCTGGAAACCTGTAGACAAGTCTTGAAAGTGACGATTTTAGGACGGAAAATCCAAAATGGCCACCTTAAAATTTACCCAGAATGCCCAAAAACTAATCAGTTCTTAACTCTGATACGTAGAAACATTTCTGAAAATTTCAGATGAATCCGTCAAATGGTTTGGCTGGAAACCTGTAGACAAGTCTTGAAAGTGAAGATTTTAGGACAGAAAATCCAAAATGGCCACCTTAAATTTTACCCAGAATGCCCAAAAACTAATCAGTTCTTAACTCTGATACGTAGAAACATCCCTGAAAATTTCAGATGAATCCGTCAAATGGTTTGGCTGGAACCCTTAGACAAGTCTTGAAAGTGAAGATTTTAGGACGGAAAATCCAAAATGGCCACCTTAAAATTTACCCAGAATGCCCAAAAACTAATCAATTCTTAACTTTGATACGTAGAAACATTCCTGAAAATTTCAGATGAATCTGTCAAATGGTTTGGCTGGAAACCTGTAGACAAGCTGAAAAGTGAGACGCCGCCCGCCGCCCGCCCGCCCGCCGCCCGCCCGTCAAGCTGACGACAATATCGTACCTTTATTAGGTACGATAAAAACATAAAACTACAATTCAATGGCTGTCATCTAATAAAATAGTATTTAAATCCCCTCCCCCATATGTAATTAATTTTTTGACAGACATTGAAATATTATACATTACTGGTAGCCCTATTGAAAAAATAACGTATCTGAATATAGTCATACCAAATATGACAATTTGCTGGTAGACATTTACTTATTTTAGATCAAAATATAAAATATATTATTACTTACCGAAGCATACTCTTCCAAATTATCTTCAGTTTTACCATAGAAGAACTTGTATGATGTAACCCATTGTATGTAATCAGGTCTTCCTTGGGTAATAACTCCACTCACTAACATAACTTCACCAAGGTCAACTTGAATCCACTGGTTTAAATCATTTATTCTAGCAGACCAGGCTCCTACCAGGGTAGAACTTGAACAGACACGTGTTGTTAGCTATAATCTTCACTATGGCTTACTCGATAAAAATTGAAGATAACAATGCGATTTTTTACTGTTAACAGTTGAACGACCTTCATAATTTCGCCCGAAGATTTTCTTCACCATATCCTTCCTTGATATGTATTGGTTTATTATTCGAAAAATGTTCTGTTAAGCTGTTGTTCTATTAGTATTTTTCATGAAATTGATAGGCGTTGTCATTATGCAGGTGTGATATGACTTAGTAAATACATACTTGCCCGGTGTATTTAATCTAGATCTCTGTACTCCATGACGTTCATCCCAAGTGCTTGATGCACTTAATCTAGCATCGTCAACATGGTAGATATTTCCAGATATAAGTTGTTCTGTGCAGTGGACTACATTATATAAAAACATAATGTAGATGTCATTATTACTAAAAAGCATGGATTTTTGAATCAAATGAAATTAATGATATCTTAAAATATGGTTAACTAAATGATTCGCATTAACCGAAGCCAATATCTTGCACTTGATTTTAGAATTAAAATAAGTATTTACGTATCGGTAATGAGTATTGTAATGCAGCTCATCTCTCTGTGAATTAACACGTATTTTAAAAATGTAACCTACTTTCAATAAGAATCGTATTTCCATGATTTCAATGTATTTATTCACCCTCGGGAACATTATAAAATTGATGTAAAATCCTTATCAACGCAACGGCATGTATTACTGCCCAGCTATTTTAGAGCCAACTTGCATAATTATGTATAGCGTCTTGTTGCACTTAAGATGTGCAACTAAAATATTTTCTGAAACGTAAGCTTTATTGTGTTATTATTCTTATGCAACCGGCAAGTACCAAACAGCAATTCGGGCGAATGTATCATAAAAATTACTGCACTGTACATCTTAAATAGAAATACCTTTTGCATGTACTTCTACATAGCACAATGCTAGTTGACTAGGCGTGTCATCCATCATTTTTATCATAATTGACCGCCCATGCTTGGCTTCATCGCATGTTATCTCATGTGGGGTGTTAATTTCACCTTTGTATGTCATGCACTCCTCATTCCCAATGTAAATTGCAAAGTTATTTAGTGGGTACTCTAAAATTGCAAAACAATTACCCAAGTTACAATATAGGTAACATTAAAAAGAAATAAACGTACAGCGCCTTAGAAAATATAGGCGTTCAATGTTAATTTTGAATCATGATAAACATGGATTACCTTTGCTTGGGGTTATCACAAATTTAGAAATCGGAACATCATTTCTCATAAACACCATCCAGTGAGGGTTCGTTTCGATTGAAGTTAAGCTGATTAAGCAGTTATCCTTGTGGTTATCTAACCCCATGAGAAGGGCATTCTCCGATGGTTTGTTGATCCATGTTTCTGATGACTGGAATGTCAGTTTCCCAATTGCATCGTTTTCTAAATTGACACATTTGATTTTATCAACATATGTCATTCATGCAATATTTCAGAAATTTTAAGGATGCATACGTTTTTTCAATTGATAATTGTTTTAAAATCTAAAGGTGAAGTCATTGTTTTTCAAGGATGATCTCAAGAATGTGATGTCGCAAGAATGTGGTTTTGCAAGAATGTGATGTCGCAAGAATGTGATATTGCAAGAATGTGATTTCGCAACTATGTGATATTGCAAGAATGTGATGTTGACAGTGACAAATAGCAGTCGCAATAAAGAATATAATGAAAAATGAAGAACATACAGAAACACTACCTTATAATATTATCCGAAAATATGTTCATACCTGTGTGCATGATATATGTATCAAAACTGTCAAGTCCAATCCCATTGCAGTTTGCTATTTGACCTCTAACACTTGTCCAACTAACAGTGTCATTTTCTTTAACGTAGCATTGTCTCTCCTCTATTCCAAATGCTTCTTTACCCTCATTGAGGGCTTTCACATAGCACTTGTATATTGGGTCTTCTACTTGTTCTGCTACGCTTGCATCTTCAGTATTACTGAGTCGGACAATATTTGGGTTTGTGGTCAATTGAGATCCGTAACAGCCATCGTGTGTGTATGGAAGTGTGAATCCACCATCTGGAAGTAAGAAGTAAGAAAGTCTGGGTTGAAATGATCTCTGTATGAAATCATCTGCATTGTATTAACATAGACGTAGTTACCTTTGTCTCCAAAGGTTAAAGTCTTTTGCTCCTTAATTTTTATAACATAAGATGATATGGGAGTGTCCAATCCGACCCCATTCTGTAATTACAGTGATTTCAGAATGTTTAATGAAATAAGAAGTAGTAGTGCTACGGCCAAGGCGATTTGTGTCCAAAACTAGATTCAATTTGACTTTAGATTCTTGTAGGAGACCCCAAGGCATGTAAAAAAAAGTTTGTGAACCCTTGCAAAGCAGGCTCAAAAGTGCTGAGTCAGCAAATTTTATCATTTTCGAGTCTGACTTTTACCATATGCTTGAAACTATTTAATATCTCATTTCAGGGTGTTGCAATTGTAATGAAACATTGTAAGTATATCAATAAGGCATGTATGAAGAATTCCTGAAAGTTTGGGTCTTATCCAACAAAATTTGGTAGAGATATGGGATAATTTGTCCCTAAAAGTACATAATTCATTCTCAAAATTTCTTAATCAGTCGATAGTTAATCAGTCATTTAAAAAACAGTAAGAGCCTATGGTGTATAAAACCTGATTAAAAACTTCACTGATGATGTTAGCAAATATTTCTTGAATTAGTTTCAATAAAAAGTACAAGTATTTATTTTTTCTGATTTTTCTCTTTACCTTCCCCTAAAATTGCAAGAAAGGGGGCGTGGCACATAACACTTCAGTTGTTGAACTTGTTGCTAGGGTCAAATAGAAAATGTGTATCATTATAGCAAAAAGTGTTTTTCTAAATAGATCTTAACACTATATGTGACATCATGATATGCTAAACATATTCATTATCTACCATTTTATATTTTTACAGCTTATCATTGCCATACCCCATAAAACCGTTTAGGGTATGTGTGGTCAGCAATAGGTAATACATGTATGTGTACTTAAAACATTTTTCAAAATTGTATTTCAGATGCCACTCTATCCTAATGTTGTTCATGTAGTTATGGTATGTTAAGAATGAATTATGATGATAATATGTTATATTACACTCCCCATCATAAGTTTTGTAACTGTAAGTCCCCCTTTGAATCACTTATTAAAGCTTGTCATGCTGTTTGGAAATTTTAAACAAGACATCAAGCTTTTGGAATAAAGCAATAAGGAACAAAATCAAGGTTCAAACATTGACAGACCTTAATATGTAATCATATGAAAACTTGCAGTTGCCAACCTTATAGAGGGGTGTATAAATATTATATGTGTCATAAATTGTTTAGTTGTAGAAATCTGAAGCCAAAGGAAATAATAGTGCTTTACATTCTCTCAAAGACAGTGATCAATTCCGTGGCACTGGGTTTGTTGACATTACTTATATGATATGTGACATTACGCGAGTTTGGTCCTAAGGCCAACATATTCCAATGGTGCAGAATCCCACTCGCCCCATCAAGTCCCACTCTGCCATATCGAGTCCCACAATGTCCCAAGAGACCTTGTTAACTTTGCCCCATGGAGTCTCATCGAGTCCCTCTATATCCCATCGAGTCTCACGGAAATGATGTAATTTAGTTTAAAAGGTTTTGTCAAGGTCATTTTGATCCCAAGTTAGCTGACACATCCCATGATCAAAAGTCCCACGATGCCCAATGGAAAGAATGAATAGGTTTATTCTCAGTGGGACTTCGCCAAATGATACCCAATCGAATCTTATGGGACTCAATGGGGCTTCATGTGGAAAATCCCAAGGAATCCGAAGGAGTTCCATCGGGCAAAGCTCAATGAAGCCCAACAGATTTCCATGAGGTCCCACCCAATGTTAAATCAATGGAGGTCCCTCCCTATGTTAAATCAATGGAGGTCCCACCATGCCGTATTGGTGTATGTTAGGCTTTAGCGAAGTAACTTCCTTTGTTTACATTCATCAAATCGTTAAAAAGGAAAAGTTGTCAAAACTTTGTAAGAGCGTGATTATTTGGACCGATTTCACTTGTCTGCTAAAGCTATTTTAGTTTTACACGAACTGAGCGGGCCAGTGCCATTCATATTATCTTCAAATAAACTTTTTCTCCTGCATTCAATTCATGACCACATGTTATGTTACTACTATACAGAATCCATAGGATCCTCAGGGATAAGCCATTCCATGGTCACTTGGCCTTGGATTGAATGTCTTTAACTCAGGTGAATAGGTTTATTATGAAGGGGTTTCCATGAAAACGTATGAGTCTTGGATAAACAGATTCCAAAAGTCAATGGGAGTGACAAAACGTAAGTAATGCTTAATAACTGAGTGTGGATTGGTTGATCCCAAGATATTATCAGTCAGTAGCTTATTACGTACTATAACAGTTAGCAGGGAACAAAAACTGGAACTTACTGTTATGCAGTAATCACGATACAAAAATATGTCATATTCCGCAATGAATATGGCATATTCACTTGCGGTGTATGACAGATTCACCTGCGGTATATGGCATACACAGTAACAATTGAGAATGTGATATGGAAGTACGCAATTGTCAATTGCTTAGATTGAACGAACAAGTTAAACATTATAAATTATTATAATGATTACTGAATCAACAGCACTGTGTATCAAATATATTAACTTAGAATATATTAACTTAGCAGAAGTATCAGTCACCAATCTTGTGCAATAAACTTACTCAATCAATCCAGGATTGATACATTAGTACTAGATGCACTAACTATTGGTAATCCAGCGTAGTTTTTCATTTAGAGTCAATTCTTGCAACCAATCAAATCAAGGCTTTCTGTATCACGTTTTGGACTGCAGTATCTGGCACTTTCCGCAAGTGAGTATGACATATTCCGCAGGTGAGTATGGGGTATTCACTGAAATCAATGTACAATGTATCGCATATTCACTGCGGAATATTGCATACCCATCAGCAGAATATGCCATACACTGCAGGTGAGTATGGCATATTCACCCGTATCACAAATACTGCGCAACCATGAATGTATGCCATATACCATGTAACACTTACTGTCGATCATGCTGCTCCAGGAATAATGATTCATCTGTACAAAGCATAATCAAGGTGGTAGAAGCAAATGAGAACCCATTTAAGATTGAAATTTTGATAATTAGCCATTTTGATTTCCAAAGTTTCAATTTCTCCAACTGTATAATAACATGGAAGTCGAAGATGCTAATAAGCTCCATTAAATGCTTACTATGGAGGTGATGACTTTGCTGGGGTTTCTTAACTCTTCTATCTACAGCTAGGGATACAATTATTTTCTGTACAAAGTACAATCAATTCCCTTGATACTATGTGAAGTATCGGGTGCAAGACTAGCAGTGAAACATTATCCCCAATTCCTTAGGGACAATAGGGGCGAAGCCAGCTTTGGTTCAGTGGGGGTTTGATTGCCAAAATATTTTCGGTTTTCAGTCAGGGGGATGCAACTGTGGCATAAAAAAGGCTAAAAATTTAGATCTATCTTGAATTTTACAAATCTTGATTCAACTTCCTTCAAAATAGGGCTAGAAGCTTAAAATAAAAAGCATTTTAAAACTCTTCTTCTATCTCATGGTTATATTTTTATTGGTCATGGGGGGGGGGGTGCGATCCCATTGCACCCACTGGCTAAGCCTATGGACAAGATGTATTATTTTGACATAAACAAAACATACACATCTTGTTATGTTCTACAGACTACAACTAAACAATTTATGACATATATACAATACGAAGTGTGCAAACTGCAACCAGGCTCTGAGAAACTCTGGCTCTTAATCATTTGTAGTGTTACAATTTGTTATTATATAGCTAATTATTTGCAGCAACAATAGGGGTCCCGTTGCAGTTTACATGTTTACATGGACCCTATACTATAAAGCATGTACACCCCTCCATAAATTTGGCAACTGGAAGTTATTATATGATAGGATATCAAAGTCTGTCAATGTTTAAAACTTGATTATGTTCTTTATTACCGTATTTCAGATACTTCGATTTCAT